TGTCCATACTACCCAAAGCAATTGACAGATTCAATGCAATTTCTATCAAGAAACCAATGGCATATGTCACAGAACTAGAACAAATATTCCAAAAATTCAAAAGATCTCAAATAGCAACAGCCATCTTGAATAAGAAGAACAAAGTTGGAGGAATCATACTACCTGATATCAAACTATATTGCAAGGCCATAATAATCAAAACAGCATGGTACTGGCATAAAAACAGACATATAGATCAATGGAGAATAGAGGGCCCAGAAATAAACCCACACCTTTATAGTCAATTAATATCTGAGAAAGCAGGCAAAAACATAAAATGGGGTAAAGATAGTCTATTCAATAAATGGTCTAGGAAAATTAGATACACGCAAAAAAATGAAGCTAGACCACCTTCTTACACTGCACACCAGAATAAACTCAAAATGAATTAAATGTTAAACTCGAAACCATAAAAGTCCTAGAAGAAAACATAGGCAGTAAAATCTCGGACACTTCTTGGAGTAATACTTTTTCTGATATATCTCCTCAGACAAGAGAAACAAAACAAAAAATAAACAAATGGGACTATATCAAACTAAAAATTTTGGGCACAGCAAAAAAACCCATCAACAAAATGAAAAGACAACCCACTGAATGGGAGAACATATTCACTGATACATCTGATGAGGGGTTAATATTCAAAATTTATGAAGAACTTATAAAACTCAATACCAAATAAACAATCCAATGAAAAAATGGGCAAAGGACCTGAATAGATACTTCTCCAAAGAGGACATACAGATGGCCAATAGACATATGAAAAGATAGAGAGCAGCAGACAATGGGGGTGGGGGTGAAGGGGATTGAGCAAAAAAGAATTCATAAACATGGACAACAGTGTGGTATTGTGGGGGGTGAGGGAAAGGGCTGGGTGGAGGTGGAAGAGTGTATAGGGAGGATAAATGGTGATGGAAATAATAAATAAAAGAAATCCCAGCCCCACCACTTAATATCTACATGATTTTGAACAAGTTATTTCTCTGTTCTTCAGCTCCCTCATCTGTAAAATGAAGATAATAATGATCCCATCTGATAGGATAATTGAGAGGAGATATAGTAGATAGATGACACATACAGGGGTGTGTGTGTGTGTGTAATTATACCTGGTACATATGAAATCCCAAGTTAGTGTTGGCTATTATTAATGATGGTCCTTTTTGTGTAATTCTTACATCTCTTTTGCTCAAATTTTCCTAGTTCCCTATGTCCTATCTGTCACAAAGTTCTTTCTGTACATTCATAGTACTTCCCTCACCCATCCTTTTACTGACACTCAGAATTTTACCACTACAGATTAAGGAAAATGGAACATAGGAAGTTTAAGATATGCATATTAGGGAATATAAGGTTTCTTTTTAGGAAAACCTTCATGGTTTGCTCAATTACTCATATTCTTTCTAGAGCCTTTAAAATAGAGGGAAGTACAATAATATGAGATAGTATTATGAGCTTGGCAGTAAAAAGACTTAAACCCTGACTCTCCAGTCACATAAGCAGAAGACTTAGAAAGAGGAGCATGGAAGAATTATTGGCGCTAGTCAGGTTCCTGGCAGTACTGTGGCTTTTCCTTTTGATTTATCCCCACCCCCACTCCAAGCTAAATAAACAAGGCTCCAGTAGACTCAGCTAGAGAAACTGGAGGGAACCGTAAGGAGAAACTGGCATCTCATCCACTAACAGATTTGCTGATACACCCCGCACCTACATAAACAGGGTAGAGACTGGAGAGAAACATCTGGTTAAGGTATAGGTTGAGTAAAGCAATGTACACTCCTGTAATTTGGCATGGCAAGAATGTGTATGTTCCTTCTGGGTCCACTGATACTGTGTAGAAAGTGACGTCCAGGTTTGACACCTAAGGGGAAAGAAATTCTAGCAGCAAGAGGCTGGATACACTTCTGAAAGGGGGAATTAGAGAGAGAGAGAGAGAGAGAGAGAGAGAGAGAGAGAGCTGCAGGCTAGGCTGATCTCCCATGTCAAAGAACTGTGCAGGGGAGAGCCTGCCTCAGTTTCTAGAACTCTTATGCCCATTAATGTGTGACCATTTAGATGCAACATGGATAGTACTTATCCAGCAGAGAAAAATGTATCCCTTTCTTCCCAATTTCCCTCCCAGTCCCCACCCCACACCACACCAGAGAGAAAGGGCCTTGAAAAGAGAGGGAAATAACTGATTAAAAACAAACCCCACCTTCTGTCTTCAGAGTTCTTGAGTCACAGTTCAGTCAGAGAACACTTGCCTTGGAACTGAGATTGGATTTTAAACCAAACATACTTTTATTTTTTGTTAATCCTCACCTGAGGATATTTTTCCATTGATTTTTAGAGAGAGTGGCAGGGACAGAGGGAGACAGAGAGAGAGAGAAACATCGAT